GGACGCCGCGTGAAAAAAGGCCGCGACTTTTTCTTCTGTGCGCCGGCCTCCTACGCTGGCTGGCCCTCTCCTGCCTCGGCCGGCCAGTGGCCAGGCACCGGGCTGGCTGCAGTGCCTCCTGGTGCCCATGGCACCGGTGGCCAAGCCCCTGGTTGTTACGTCTAGTGCACCTGCAGGAAAAAGACCTCGTGTTGTTGCTGATCTGAAAAAGAAGGCTAAGTCAACCACTGCACTTATTATTCAAGATGCAATCACAAAGATGTCTGATACTGCTACTTCTTTTATATCGAGTTATGGTCTTTGTTAATTTTTTATTATTTGTTTTCTATTTTCTCCGAAAAATATCGAGTGTAATTTCAATCAAGGGCATAATGGACCATTTGCATGGAAACAATCCATTTCTAGAGCTAGAGCTAGGCTGTGTGCCAAACATACCACTTACTCTACAAACTCCATGGTGGAGCTGTTCCATGGTGTAGTTGGTGGAGCGGAGTAGTCCCAAATACCCCCCTAAAAAAGGGACAGATGACAACCAATAAGTCGTAAGTATTAGGTACTAACCTCAAGTGCAATAACAATGTTAAGACCCTTTGTTTGAAGGACACGTGAGAGCTCATTTGTCATACCAAGCAACTTTAACATAACCATCAGAATAAAAACAAACTGAAAACACTCTATTTTTTTTATTAAACCAGCCGCTTGATTTGGTACTCTACCATCTTCATGGACTATACGCAACATCTCTATCGCACATTTGATACAAACAAATCAAAGCAGTATGATGTGATCCCCATCTTGTATTCCCAGGTCTAGTATATATGTAGGGGTCTAATTGTAAATGTATTGATGGCCTTGTCGCTATATATATAATATATATATATATATATATATATATATATATATATATATATATATATATATATATATATATATATATATATATATATATATATATATATAAAGTTTAGGAGCTTTGCAAAATGCAACATACATTTATTAGGCTTGAAACTTTGGTGATTCTATATTCTATACCTTATTTTGCTGTAGATTATTTTTTGTGTACGTTATTCACCATATATGATAAGATTTATTGCGAATTATGTGCTTTTGATTTATAGTTACTTTCAATCAGTGGCACTTCTCTTAATGAATTTTTGATCTGTGCGAAGGATCTTGAATCCTTCTTGCTAACCATGAAACCCTCAACTACCTCTGACAATAGGCTTCATGCAGCAAAATGCCAACGGAGATTCAAGGATGACGATGACATTGTTTCTGAACAGCGGAGAACAAATGAGGTGAGCCTATGTTCTTCATTAAATGTTGATTCCATAATTAAAACTGTCACATAGCAAAAATTTAGTAAGCAATGCAAAGCTTTCCTGCTTTTTCCTCTTAATTAGCAAAGAATCTTGATACATAAATTGAGATGATAATTACACATAGATCCTTTCATGCATCAGCATTTTTCTGAGTTGCTTAGCACCTATCAAAATGTTGATTAAGTAGTTATTTGACCTTTATAGATGAGCAAATGCAAGCAAACTCATTTGAACTCTATAAAAGGAAATTTGAGCTTATGATAAACACAGTGTCGTTCTTGTGGCTCATAATAATTTTTTTCCACCACAGCAAAGTCGAATTTCATTATGATATTATCTATTCTCTCGTTACCCTTAGTTCGCACAGTAATATCTATGAGAGAGACTATTCTTTGTTGCAAGATAGATTAATGTTCATGTATACTCTACTAGTCTAGTAACATCTGTGTGTTTCATATGTGATAAAGGACTGGGACACCTAAGATATATGCAGGTTGAATTCTTCAGTATCTAGGAATGTTTGAGAAGGTTTAAGGTTATATAAAATCAAATGAATTTCTGCAGGTACAAGCTAAGTCAGAAGCTCTAATGATAATTGAAACAAATGTGGTGGCCCGTGTCGCTTTGCCACTTCATATCTTGGGAATTGATCTTCTTGGGGAAATATTCGGATGGCTATCCCCAGAAGATCTTGCACGGGCTTGTTCAACTTCTAAGTATCTACTAGCCATTGCAAAGATGCCTTCTCTTCGCCGCCAACTCAGGACACAACATAGCTCCAGGCAAAGAACTGGCCTTCCCTCCGCCGCCAACTCTGGACACAACATAGCTCCATGCAAAGAACTGGCCCTTCTTGGGTGTTGTCGCACAAAGGGGAGCCCAAATTTAGCTCCGGTCCCCACATCTCAGGAATCCCTTTGAAAAGAGCGGTAGTGGCACTTGCTGACTTTCTGCTAACAGAGAGCAGCAGAAGAATCAACTTTACATTGAGGGACTAAAGGGATGGGAGATTGCTGATTACCACATGCCATCGAGGCACATAGTTCTTGGTGTGCAGCCCTTTTGAAGAACATCGCTATAACTGGTTACCCATGTGCCCTGTTCTTGCACCAGATGGGAAGGACCTTATATGTGCAGCATTTGTTCCAGATGATGCAACACGTGACTATACTGTCATTGTTGTAGCAGTTAAGGTTTCAAATAGATCAGTTGCTTGCCTGAAGAGGTTTGTTTCAAAAGGTGATGAATGGTCTTGCTCACTGGTTGAGTGTGCTTTCCAGTTTCTTGCAAGATCGAAGCTTCTCACTATAACGGTTTTCTCAAATTGACACCTAAATATCTTGAATCCTACAGTTGGAATGATCAGTATCAATATTCAGAACCTAATGATGAGTAAGTTCATATCATAAGTTGTCTTTTCTGAGCCATGGAATGAGTGCTTGTTGATCTCATTATACTATTCTTTTGTGTTAGATATGTATATACCTAGGGGTCTAATTTTAAATGAATTGATGGCCTTGTCGCTATATATATATATATATATATATGAAAGTCACAAGGCCATTAGTACATTTACAATTAGACCCTAGATATATACATATCTAACATCTTGTCTAAGCAGGAATTATTCCATTACCATTGCAAGATGCCTTGGACTCTATTCCACGAAGACACCAAATCATTTGTCGGAATAGAGAGGGTTCCTTATGCCTGGTTATAGCTCGAGTGGTAGCAGACATCCCTGGAAGAGGCAAGAAGACCTTATTATCCATATCTGTCTTTGATCGAACATCTGAGCAGTGGACTCGTACACATGAGTGGCCTGCCCCCAAGAGCATCCCTTGCTTAAATTTGGTGGGGGTTCACAGAAGGCCATGGTACCGTAATTGTGGGTACGAGATGGGATGCACTATATGTGCTGAACATCGATGATGGCAGCTTTTCACAGGAGATGCGCGAAACTGGAGCAGGAAATGAAGTGCTGACATATGAAAAAGAGTATCCATCGACAAGTTGGTGGGCATTCACTAAGTAGATGTAGATGAAAATGCGAGAGGAAACTGGTTGTTGTCTTTGGAATTTGGGCGAGGCGGTCTAAGCATATTAGTCATTCACTGTCTCTTCTCATTCTGAGCTCAAATTACTTTGTAACATTTTTAAAGTTGGATCTTGTTATGAAGATTCTTGCATGGGGTGAATATGTAATATAAAGAATGTTAATTCGGTGTCCTGCTGATATCATTTGCTCTCTTTGTGGTTTTTATAAAATGTTGCTCACTTCTTCATCCTTACCCTCATATTTGCATGGAGATGATCAATGGCTTGAGGTGTTTCTTGTATTTCAACTTTCCACAACGTTCTTGTATATCTACTAGAAATTATTTTTAAATCCGTTGAGTTTTAAATCTGTTTGATTTTTAAATCTGTTTCCTTTCTGACCAAAGACGCCATAGAATTTGCTTGAATTTGCTTTGTCTATGGTGTTCGCACATGAATCCGAGTAGGACTTTCCTGGCGCGGCCGGTTAGAAGATCCGCAACAGGATAGACACACATGAATCTGAGTAGAACTTTCCCGGCGCGGTTGGTCAGAAGATCCGCAACAAAGATAGACATGTCTCTGAGTAGAACTTTCCCGGCGTGGTCGGTCAGAAGATCCGCAACATACCAAATATATCAATCCTTTTGTATCCTAGACACTACCAACAGTCTGCCTGTCAAGTTTTCAGCGTTTAACATCAATGAAGTTCTTTGCACTCACATGCAAACTTTGTATTTTCAGTAACTTCTTCAATTTCGTTGTTCTAGTTTATCAATCACATTTTCAATCGGTGCATTCAGTTCATTTCCAACAACCTTTCTCCTTCATGAATCGAATCCTCCAGCCTGCAGGGTTGCAGCAGTAATCATCACAGTTCACAGCGCAAGCGAAAAGCGTAGGATGGCCGCACTTGGCTGCATGATCTGTTCTAGTGTAGTGGTCCTGGTTCAAAATGGAAAACACGCGCGCGCATATATTTTGGCAACAAAGTGTAAATCGTCATGGGATTTCGGTTGTCATGACACGCTTGGACTGGAAACTTGAAACAAGTAAACTGCCAGCCAGTTTTTGCTCGCCCTTGGATTGGCCCCAAGATTAGTGCCGATGAGGTTGTCATCCTCTTCTCTCCATGACTCCATCGATCGATGCCAAGTTGAGCGTGAACTGGCTGGCTGACGAGGCAAAGAGAAGCATCCAGATCTTTTCTTTTCTTTTTTTGAAATGAAAAGAGACGCACCCAGATCATTAAACTCAAGCAAGTCAGCAATCCGCTGCATGCGTGATCGGCCATTCGGCCGGCGGTTAACCGATGCATCCACCCCCAGATTGCTTGATACCTTGACCCAAGCCTTCCAGGGTTTCACCAACGCCTGGTCGCCGCCGATCCCAAAAAGACGCCATCTTTTTCCTGTAAGCCACGAGCAGGCCACCCATCCGCCATCCTTGAAAGTTGAAAGTTCCCAAATCCTCCTCACCCTGCGAGGCCCCAGCACCGAAAGCACCAGCTTTTCGCCGCTCTTTCGCGCAAGCCCCGTTGCCGCCCACCGAGACCCGCGCCGCCGCGCGCAATACATGGCCGCCGACCAACAAAGCGGCGTCTTTTGAGAGGAAGCGGCTGGAGGACCTGCTGCCGGCTAGATGACGGAACTGGCCGGACGCCCCGGGACGTCGGGCGGCCTGGCGCTGCGGGCGGGCCAGTTCGTCTTCGCCGCCGCGTCCATCTGCGCCATGGCCTCCGCGCCAGGGTTCACCAACTACACAGCCTTCTGGTACCGTCCCAGACTGCTTGCGACCTGTATCCCCTGAAACTCTGAATCTCTGATTGCTTTAGCGTAGCGCCTATATGGCGGCGCTCTGCTCGTGAACATTGTGATCTCTGTTCCGTAGTGCGGTCATGGGATTGGGATCTGCTCGGTATCTGCTTGTAGCATGATTATTTTGCCTAATTGCTTGCTTTGTTGTCTGCGTTGAACTACCTGCCTTGTGATGGGATATGGAGGGTTCCCTGTGGAGTGTGGACGTCTTCTTCTTGTTCAGAATAGTACCACATATACTATTTATTTGCAAGACACCTTGTTTGTTGATGCAGTTTGTGCATTTGGGAAAATTGAAATGAAAACATGTCTTTACCTTAAACATTGGTACCCGACCAGCATTCCTGCAAATTGCCAGCACTGAACCTATGAGTTGGTTGACCATCATTAGGAGGTCCCGATTTTGCAGTATGCACGTACATTCACAAGAATTTATTGAGTCTATCCTACCATTTCTTTCTATACTGAATTACCGATCAACACTTCACGTCTTCACCGTTTTTTCTTGTAGTGATCAAATTGAAGATTTGCCGTTGTTAACTATAAGAAGGCAAATGTGTAGTTCATTTCAACTGTTATATTTATTTTGTATATCATGTTTTATTTCATTCAGCTTGATGAATGGCTTTTCTTTCATCTCTGTTAGGTGTAGAAATTGGATATACAATGCATCTGTTCATTTATGGCTTGGTTTTCAACTGCATTGTACCCAATTTCAGCTACTTGATTGCATCTATGGGACTACAAGCACTATGGAGCTTGGGGCTTGGATGCCTTGATTGCTATGCATTGATATTGAGAAGAGATCTTCAGCAAGCTTTTCTCATGAGCTTATTTGTTGTTGGCGACTGGGTAAATTATTTAAGGCATCTTTTTATCCATGTTGTATATCACTGAACCTCGTCTGTTTCTGCTACCATCCAAAGTAATCAATTACTGCATCCTACAACTAAATTGAGTACCCATTTTTTCGTAGCATTTTCAATCTATAAACCTTATCACCTGGATGTAAAATATTAAATATCCTGCAGTACTTGGAAACATGTTGAGCATTCCACGCATTCATGCTTTATTTTGTTTCTGTTCATATTTCACATTTTATATTATATATAAGTGACTGTAAAATTATCCCATTTCTGTTCGATTGTTGCAGATATGTAAAATATCAGGTACACTGTTATACCTAGCACTACCTAGCTTTACATGTTAGTGAAGTTGAAGCATCTTTTCCTAGTTTTGTTAGTATTTTTGGTGTCACCTTGATCACTATATGAAACATATGTGAAGTCATGAACTTAAGTAATTTCTATGATTTTTTACATGGAAGTTTTTTTTTTCTTTGAATGGTAGGATCTAGGATCAAAGACATAATCATACTGGGCATTGTTTTATGAAGCACGCTATATCTCTGATATTGAACTTTTGAAATGTGGCTTTGTGAAGTTCTGACTGATTGCACTATATGATGCAGGTAACAGCAATTCTTTCATTTGCTGCTGCATGCTCAGCTGCAGGCGTAGTTGTACTTTTCGAAAGGGATGCATACTTCTGCAGAAGGGATCCACAACTGCCTTGTGGAAGATTCGAAGTTGCTGCTGCATTTGCATTTCTTTGCTGTACATTTAGTGCTGCATCTGCTCTGGTAATGTTTTGGCTGCTTGCTTCCTTGTGAATAATGACCTTGTGTAAGCTGTCTGTAATGAAGCTCATTTTTTGAGCAGATCACACACTAGAAATTCAAAAAATTCTGGGACTTGAGTTCCATGAGCTCTTCTTACAAGGATATATGTTCCATTAGCCATTTTGCCCAACCACAAACATTTGTTCCTAATGCTTTGGACACAATAATAGCTTTGTTGCTGGGGAAATGCATCTGCTTGTGGTACCTGAGCGCTGCATCTTCATGGAGTTGGCGATTGCTGTTCTTCTTGAACCATAGATTCCCCGATCTGCTTGTGGACCTGAGAATGACACTTCTTGTAGCAAGCACTGCAGAAATCCTTGGATGATTTAATATGATAGGGACATTATCTAGCAGGTCTTCCCAAGGGCCCAAAGACAAGGATTGCAACCGAAAGAGATGTTATTTCTACCGCAGAAATATTGTAGGCATTTATCCCAACAAGAAAATAGGGGAAAGGGATATGCTGTTGCTTTTCGTACAGTCCACTGTACGCATGTCTCCAGGCCATGTAATGTATATAACCAATTCTGGAATATATCTGGAAAATAATTGGAGCAGACCAGTTCCAATCCACACAATTTCTCTGAGGTTCATAGATGGACAAGTAGCACGATATGAAACCCCTAAAGTATGGTTCCTCATTTTGTTGGCTACAATTGCATGACTGACTGTTTCACTAGCTCAGAACCAATAACCCATCGCTCTTTCAGCACAATAATGCCAGACTTTATTAGAATGATTGAAAGAGAAGACGACGACGATGATACAGTCACCAATATAGAGAGAAAACAAACCAAAGGAGTACATCGCTTTCTAAGTTCCAGCATTTAAAAAAAGACGATTCACATTTTATTCAAACTGAAAACGCAATTCTACAGATAGGGTTGAGTGTAGCCCCTCAGGAGTCAGGACTCAGGTGCCGGACCAAAACAGAACCTACCTCTATGCTCACCACTAGCCTGCTCCTGCCAAAGTTATTTTTAAAATTAAAGAAAGTACTAGTAACTAAGAGCTGGGAGCCATGGACAAGATAGCAGACCGACAGTATATTCATTGGTAAGAGACCGACATGGGCTTATGTGTGTACATTTCTCCGGAAGAGCATTTGGCACACAAACATTACTACTGAAAGTTACCTTGGACCACAGTTTTTTAACTTATTCTTGCTATTATATTGAACTTCTGCAGATCAAGGGTCCAAAACATCCAAGCTCAGTATATCACAATCACTTGTGAAATATGATTGACACTAAAGTACTAAACTTTTCAACAAAGAACAAGGATACATTGTCAATAGTTTAACAAGCGAACATGTATGAAGCTGTTTGCATTAGGTCGAAGATACCAAGCAATGTTTGATTGTACAAGGGGATCTGCAATCCTCCCTTCGTCAAAGAACTTAAGAATGTACTGTAGCTAAAACTGGAGAGCTCACATGACGATCTCAGGCTTCAGAATGCTTGACTTGATCTCTTTATGTGGGAGAACAACACCACCATTGCTGTATACCTCATCACACACATGAACATCCTCCCCCAGGATAGTCATATTCTCTATTCGTGCCCATTGTCCAACAGTTGAGTGCCACCCGATAATGCTGTTTGAGATGCAAGCATGCTTCTTGATACGCACACCACGCATGACAGTGCAGCGGGAAAGCCTCACGCCATCCTCCACAACACATCCAGGTCCAATGGCGACATCAGGACCAATCAGACAACCTTCTCCAATCTTGGCGCTCTCATGCACAAGCACATTGCCAACAACATGTGCTCCAGTAGCTAGCCTGGCAGCTGATTTCTTCCTAAGTGAGTCTAGATAAAGACGCAAGCCAGTAATGTAGTCCCTTGGCTGACCAACATCCATCCAAAAACCTGGAAGGACCATTGCATAGAGCTTCTGATCAGCTGCAATTTGAGGGAAGACCTCTTTCTCAATTGATGTTGGCCTCAGTTCAATGCGGTCAAGGACAGATGGGTTCAGCAAGTAAATCCCAGCATTGATTTTGTTGCCCACAAATATTTTTGGCTTCTCAACAAACCTTTCCACCCTGCCAGTTGCCTCCTCCATAACCACAACACCATATTTTGATGGTTCATCCACCTATATGATTTAAAGAAAATTCAGTTCACATATACCGGCTGATTCCACAAAAAAAATGTCCAAAAGGATTTACCTTAGTGACCATAATTGTTGCCTCGCCACCATGACACTTGTGAAATTCGATGAGTTCAGCAAATGGGTATTCACTTATGACATCACTGTTGAGGACAAAGAATGGCTCGCCAGATCCATCCGCAAGCTTGTCCTTTGCTAGAGCAAGAGGGCCAGCAGTTCCTAAGGGCTCAGTCTCTTGGGAGCATGTAATTGTGATGCCAAGCTTATCCTCAAAGTCCTTCAAGAAATTAATCATTACCTGGAAGATATATGACACACCAATTAGATCATAGAAGCCAGACCCAAGTCAACAAAAGAAAGGATGATTGGTCTGTTATTTCTACCTCTGGGCGGTAGTTGATGGCCAAAACCACCTCTGTGACCCCAACTTCTTTCAAAGCTTCGATCTGCACAGAACGAATAAGTTTTAATTCTTCCAGCCACAGACACACATAAAGGAGAGCACTCGGTTGATGTTTAAATATGTACTTGGGCACAAAGCAAAATTCCTAGACGATATCTGTTTCGTTTCACTTTTGCATTTTTTTATGGAAAAGAATGAAGAGAGGAAGTTACACGATAATTGATAATTCATAGTGATTTTCCCAACTTGATGATAAATCTTTTACATAAAGAAGAGGTGACTACTAAGGAAAGTAATCGTTGAATGCTAAATTGTTTCTAAGCTAACTAATGCACAGCAACTATCAAAAGATACTGATGATGGATGCTGACATGATGTGGGCTTGGGTTAAAAACACCAAAGCAACTATAAATCTGTAACCATATCTACTCATATTGAGCCCAGTATTACTTTCGAGGACACTGATAACAAATAACATATTACAAAGAAAATTGGTGTTCATGCCAGTTTAAGTAGCATGTATAGTGATATTGTATCACAATGCTCATTCCCGCTCTCAAAAGGTGCTAGAATGCTCATGTTGTATCAGCTTAAAATGAGTGTCTTTACCTGATGCAGAATCATGGGCTTGTTTGCAAAATCCACAAGGGGCTTCGGGAAGCTAAGAGTCAAAGGCCGAAGGCGGGTTCCGAAACCCCCAACAAGAATGAGCGCCTTCATGGTGAAGCACCTCCTTTCCTTCCTCCCTCAATCCCTGTTGCCACACATGACAAGCCAGATATAAGAAAGTAGCATCATGCTGATTCAGAAGAAAACAAAAGAATCGGAAAATGGGTACAATCGATCCGCAAGGGGCTTAACTGTCTGAACCCTTCAAATTAGTTTGGTAAATAAAGCTCGCGCGCGCCCTGGGTACCAAACCCTATGGCGCCAACCGAGACCGATCGATCTCGCGCGCCTACGAAGGCTAAACAAATTCGGTACTAGCTGAAACGGATGAGAGGATCCAGGGCTACAGCCTACAGGTACTTGCGAACAGAAGAGAAGAAGTACCAAGGGGAAAGGAGGGTGGAACGAGATTTGGGGACGCCGGTCTCTCCTTGAGTCAGCCTGTCGCCTTGCGTCCTCCGGCTTCCCCCTCCCCTCCCGGCCACCGGCGAAGAGGGCACCCACCACCAGACTGCTGCGCGCTGCGCGAGGCTGCCGCTTCGGGAGATTGGTTTCTCTTCCTCAACGGTTGGGTTCAGAGGCCCAGCTCCAACGAGAGGGTCCGCTATATAGAACCCACGGCTGCTCCCGCCCTTTTGACCTCACTCGGGGGCCGGGGCGGCCACGTCAGCGCGGTGTAGCGCTGGCATTACCCTCTCCGCTCGTCGCACGTCGGATCGATGCCACCACCGTCTGCAACGCTGTCACTTTTTCTCTCTCCCGTCGCTCATCTTCCGTGGCTGTCATCCGCAGCTGACCTGGGCCGTCGAGGCGACATCGCCGGCTTTGCGCCGAAGCAAAGGCACGCCTCTTCTGCCTGTCCATCGGAAATACTGTGCTAGCGTGTTTCTCCGGGCTCCGGCCGGAGGCATCCATCACACACATTTGACATTCCTTCGTCGACGGAAAAGCAGGCGCTTGCTTCTTCCGGTCGGTCCAGTTTGCCATGGCTACTTTCCCGAGCCCAAGGCACCGAGTCGCCTGTCTGTCTGTGCATGTGTAAGCTTGCTAGAGTGAAGCCGATGAGCTGAAGTGCTGAACAAGCGCGGCCCTTTTCCGGTTTTTCTTTTTTCTGATGACAACGAAGTACTACGAGTCCACCAATGGTTTCGGCATATTCTGATAGCTGATTCCTCGACGACGCCAGGGACATGGACTACCTGTTTGGGGCTGTGATTATCTTATCCCGTGCAGCTCGCAATAGCGCCATGCACGCACTGACGCACCTTGTGATGCGTCGCGAAACCCGGCAGATCTCGGGCTTTTTGAGGTCAACCTTGCTGCAGTGTCGGTGAATCAAAGGAACGGGGCCGGGTTGCTTGCAGATTGCAAGCACGATCTGCGACCGACGGGCTATGAATGGATCTGCGACCGACTGATTTCATGCCTATGTTTCTGCTGAATTCCATAGCCCGAGCCCTGAGCTCTGAACTACTTAGCTGAATCCTGTAGTTTCAGTGTTCCTTCTTCTCTTCTAGCTCTGTCAGACGAACCTGAATGTGCTGGCATCACGAGTGAATATGCAGAAACATGGCATGTCTTGTTGTAAATGGAAGACACATATGGTTAGCTTCTTAGTTTGACCGGCTCTAACAGTTTCAATTTAATTTGTTATGCTTTGCTACTGTACAAAATTAGGTGTGCCGCGGTTTTTGTTTCACTAGGCTAGGTCTCATGTGGTGGAATTTCGAGGGTTTGACAAGATGCCCTTATAGACACTTAATAAAGGAGTGATGTAAAAATATTATCAGAATTTAAACAAAGTTATATTTTTTTTAGGGGATTTAAACAAAGTTATATTGCAAGAAAAATTTAGCGACAATGGGCCTTTTCCACACGTCTTGGTGTGCAGCTTCTGCATCTTCTTTTTCTCGCTGTATGGACTCAGAAACAGCTCCGTTTAATCTCATACGGACTCATGGCCCATTGGGCTTAACTTTGTTACGCGTTAGGACTCGGACACATGTTTTCAGTGGGGCTAGCAAATATACGTCGTGGGACAGAAAGAAAAATGGCAGAATTTCCACCCAAGAAGATGATGACAGAAGTAACATCCTGTAGGTATTGTGTGAGTTTCAAAAAAAAAAGTATTGAGTGACGAGATAATAAGTAGCACAGCGGTTCCTGCAACCATGATACAGTGCTACTATTATATTTCAATTTACATGCCTCGTGCTGTTGCGCACATGCCGGCTATTGGTTGCCTGTTTATATTTTCACGCTGCAAACCCCCTCGATGTTTAACTTGCGAAGCCTCCTTTGAGACTCGTGCGGTGCCTCATTAGCGAGGCATAAAAAGCTCCTTTCACAGAGTAAGAAAAGGGGCACAAAAGCTAAAAAGATGCATACAGAACTTGAACCTAGTATGTTGGTTCTCAACGCGTACGTACTATTTCTCACCATTTGCACATAATCACACCATACTTGGTTTTATCTTGCGAGGCACCGCTTGGTGTTACCAAACCTGCAAAATCCACCGCCCTAGGCTCGCCGGCGCAGCGTCGAGCATCGGAGCGGAGACGGTCTCGCGGTGCAGGTGGTGACGGCCTCGGAGTCCACGGACGTCGGGCAGAGCTGCCGGCCGTCGTCCCTCTCGTCGCGGTGGCGCCCGTAGGAGTCACCAGGCAGGAGCACGTACGATGACGACACCGGGGAGGGTTCGACAGAATCGTCGGAGGCCATGCCAGCGAAGGAGGCGGCCTGCCCTTCTTGTTTGTACTGCGCTATAACCTTGAAGATGAACGGGATGATGCCTTCCATGGCCGGTTGAGCTTGAAAGAGGCTAGAGCACTACTAGCTAGAGTGATTTCGAGAAATCTCAGAAGCTAGCTAGCTGTTGTCGTCCCTGTGACTTGGGAATTGAGGGAGTGAGGTGGCTAGCTAGGATGATGAGTAGTAGTGTGGCCAAGGACGCTTGAGAGATGAGGGGGTATAAAAAGGGCAGGCAATGCAAAGTCGCCAAAGAAAGGGACATGAACAAGAACAACTAATAACCCAATAGCCCAGCAAGAAAGACTTTGGAAACTGTACTGTTTGAGCTGAGACCGACTGGAACCCAAACAACGTACCCAATACCGCTCTGAACCTTAACAAGACTTTGTCCCCGATGTGCTTATCTCATGGATTGACAGCTCATTGTGGTTTTATGCTTTCCATTGCCGCGGAATGGACAGCCAATGGGTTTTCTTTGGGGCAGTTCATCCCTGGATCGATCACTTGGAAGAAAATGGTTGCGTTGCGTAGCCTTACACGACGAGCTTGCGATTGGACGGTGATCATATCGGTTGTGCACTTTTTCCAGCTCACGGAAATCTACAGCTTACCTGCTCCGCTGGAGAAGAAGACCGTTTCAGAAACAACATTATTTCGATGTCGATCGATGGATGGAATATATCCAGGTGATGATGCCCCTGCAGTGGAAAGTTTCTACTGCCGGGTGGCGTAATCCACTGGAATCCAGCGAATTATTAACTGGAGACGGACCCGGTTGCAAGTCCTTTTCTCCCCTCTGAATAGGAGAGTGAAGCTTATCAACAACACGGTGTCGCAGCTAGCTTCCAGCTGTCGGAGGTTCGTTGCAAACGATTTTTTTACTAGCAATCGTACATTGCAACGACACAGTTTGTTGCACGGTTTTTTTTTTTTTTTGAAACTTGGAGTGTGTACTAAATTCAGTTGTCTGAGCCAACTTTGATTCTCTTGGTTGTACTAGTTGCCAGGTTCTATTGTAAATAAGGTGGTAAAAACATTTCTTGCCAAAAATGAGGAAGCTCACAAGCTACAGTAGTTGGGAATACAACTTATGAATTTTGAGATCGGAGGGAGTAAATTTTTTTCACACTTTTTTTTATTTTATTTATGGCATGTGAAGGCTAAAAGAATCTTATCTAAGTTTAGTTGATAATTTGTCAATTTGATTAAACTTGTCTAATGTGAGATGTGGCAAACAATAGCTACTAACCGAATACCCTCTGGCTCTTTAAGAAAAACGGCATTGACATTGTTTTCAGATGGAGGAGTACTAACAGAAATTCTCGTTGGAACTGATCATCCTCTGGAGGACCGAATTTTTTACTTTTTAGTCCTTTTTTGAAAGTTTTTCGCAAATACGTCTCTGGAGGAAAGATTTCAGAATCTGGACCCTTAGCTCGCACGTCTCGGCGCCAGCGTCCCTGACGCCGAGCTCTTGGGCTCGAGACCGACGTGGAGGTGACATGGCAGGGCCTGGCGCCGAGCTCGGCGCCGTAGATCTTGGCGCCAAGCTCGGCGTCAGGGTGACTGGCGCCGAGCTCCCTACCATAACCCCGGCCTCAACCTACCTGCCCGAGCCTTCTTCCTCTTCTTTCTCCTCCTTCTCGGGTTTTTTCTCTCCCCACTTCGCCATACCTCACTAATCGGCATATTTGAAGGGTCGAGATGGCGGACTAGAGGGGGGGTGAATAGTCTTTTCTAAAATTAATCGCGTCGGCTAACCGATATAAATGCGGAATTAAAACAATCGGTCTAGTCAAGACTACACCCCTCTATATATGTTCACTAGCACCTTGCAAAGATACTAATAAAGCAACTAAGGTGCCGAGCTAGCTAGAGCTCTCCTAAACAATTCTAGGAGCAATGTCACACAAACCTATGCCACTAGTACTTTAAGTAACAAGGGAGCTCCTACACATGCTAGTAAGCAAAAGCACAAAACTAACTAAGCTCACTAGCAATGCTCAATAACAAGGCAACCAATGCCTAATTAGAGAGCGCAAATACTTAGCTACACAAACTAAGCAATGTGACTAACAAGGTTACTAAAACCAAATTAGCCACGCAAGGAAGCTACTTCTATGCTACACAAGCAAGAAGGTAATTAGCTAGCTACACAAGCTATCTAATTACAAGAGCAACTACACAAGCTTAAGATATATATATAAGTAATTTCAAGCTTGTGTAATGGGGATGCAAACCAACGGGAAGAACAAGGTTGACACGATGATTTTTCTCCCGAGGTTCACGTGTTTGCCAACACGCTAGTCCCTTGCTTGTGTCGACCGCTCACTTGGTGGTTCGGCTGCTAATTAGCATCACCCGCTAAGCCCGCACGTCGGGGGCGCCGCAAGAACCTACCCTTGAGTGAGGGTAGTGACACGCTTTACTAGAGTTGCTCTTCACGGCTCCGTGGCTAGCACAATGCCCCTCACAAGCACTTCTTCGAGCGCCAAGACAAGCTTCTTGCGCGGCTTCGACGGAGACCACCACACAAGCCGTCTAGGAGGTGGCAACCTCCAAGAGTAACAAGCACCACCGGCTTGCAACACGACCACCTAGTGCCACTCGATGCAACCTCACGATGCAATCGCACTAGAATCGCTCACTCACACAATCGAATGATCACTATCAAGTATATGTGTGATGGAGGGCTCCCAAACACTCACAAGCATGGACACTAAGTCCCTTGAGGTGCTCGGCCCTAGCCATGGCCGAGGGCCACTTCTATTTATAGCCCCAAGGGCTAAACTAGCCGTTACCCCTTCACTGGGCAACGGTCGGGCCGACCGGACGCTCCGGTCGTGTTGACCGGACGCTGGACCTCAGCGTCCGGTCGCCCACAGACGGCCACATGTCCTGTTTCCAACGGTCACTTGACCTGACCGGACGCAAAGAAGCTTCAATCGACCGGACGCTGAACCCCAGGCGTCCGGTCATTTCCAATAATGTACCGACCTCGACCGGACGCTGCGTCCGGTCACACTTTGATCGGACGCAATGTCGTCCCGTCACACTCAAGCTGCGTCGCTATCAGACGTCACCGACCGGACGCATCCTGCCAGCGTCTGGTGCATTCAGATCCAGCGTCCGGTCAGTTGACCGACGCTAGCATCTTCACGACTAACTCGTTTTCACTTCTAACTTCATCACCCTTGCTCCAATGTGCTAACCACAAGAACTTGCATCCGGCGCAATAGAAAATAGGCATTCTATTTTCCCGAAAGAAATGATGTTAGCCACCTCCTTTGTAAACACCACCTCCTTTGTAAATGTGCCAACACCACCAAGTGTACACCACCGTGTGTATGTGTGTTAGCATTTTCACGATCATTTCTCAAATGATGTTAGCCACTCAACTTGCCACGCCACTCGATCCTAGCGACAATGCAAAGTTAGATCACTCGAGTGGCACTAGATGACCGATATGCAAACAAGTTTGCCCCTCTTGATAGTACGACCATCTATCCTAAACCCGGTCATAAACTTCTCTACACACCTATGACCGGTGAAATGAAATGCCCTAGGTTATACCTTTGCCTTGCGCATTCCATTCCATCTCCTTCAATGTCGATGCAACACATGCACCAACACGATCAACAATGATATGATCCACTTCATATCATCACATGATCATATTTGTTCATCGATCTTGACTCTACTTGCTCTTCACCGTTGCTATCGTCCATCGGCGCCAAGTCTTGCTCAAGCTTCACCGCCACGCGGTCCATCACTCCAAAGCCTTTGACTTGCCCTTCACGCTTGCAACCGGTCCATCAAGCCAAGTCTTGTCTTGATCTTCTCCACCTTGATCACATGACTCAATGTCATGTCTCATGTGCGTTAAGCTCCTTCATCATCACATGTGTGAGCTTTGCAACATCTCCAAGCCATTTTCACCTCCATGCAATATGTTGCTCATACACGTGTACCTGTGGACTAATCACCTGTGTATCTCACATAAACACAATTAGTCCACCTAGGTTGTCACTCAATTACCAAAACCAACAAGGACCTTTCAATATTGGACCTTGAAAACCTTGATTTGATCCGTAGATCTTCGAGAGCAAGGTATCCTCGCTCTCCTCCTAGTTTTTTTCGCATCGATTCGATATATATTAGTCATATTGTTCAAACTAAGAATCGTTATTACTTAGGGTTTTATTCTATCCCTCAATATTTGTATTATACAACCGTAGGATGATGACAAGGCATGAAAAAGCTAGCAAACCTAGGTGCATGTAGTTATGTTATGGGTTTATTGTTGTGCATCAAATGGGAAACCCTAGGTTTAGGGTTTAATGTTAATTGCTTTCGGTTCTTAGAACAAAATTGGTTGTATTATAGTTATGGTTCTCATTGATATTTGTTTGTGATGTTTTGATTTATGTTTGTTAAATTACATCCGTTTTGTTAGATGCAAGAAATGTTTCGGGAGGAGTTTTGGCGAAAACGAGGTCGTCCTCGAGAATTATACCCCGACGCGTCTAGCAAAGATGCCCCTGTCCCTCCTGACCTCCCTGTCCCTAACTGTGACTGTGGTTTCCCGGCCCATGTTTTTCAATCGAAATATCCGGACACAGCGGCGCGGTGCTTCTACACATGCAGTCGTTTTAATGTAAGAAATTGTTTCCACTGTCTTTTTTCTTTATTTGTGTAAGTATGCTACTAATATTTCATTGTAATCTCGTTGTGTAGGACCATGTGTCGGATACCATAAAAAGGGGTACCCTAAGCAAGAACCGAAAAGATTGCTTAGACCTTGCAAATATCAATGCCAAAGGACGATCACAGGGTCTCGGCTGATTCTCCGATTCGCCCAAGGCCCGCGCCGCAAAGGCCTCGGGCGAAAGGCCAACTCTCCACCTCGCCGAGGCCCTCTCGCCGAGGCCCCGCCCCGCTAGGCCTCGGACGAGTTACCGATTCTCCGATTCGCCCGAGGCCCCGCGCATAAAGCCTCGGACGAAATACCGATTCTCCAATTCGCCTGAGGCCGGCTCGGCAACAAC